CTGGGCGTCATTCTCAGCGGGGAGCAGCGCACGGGGAGGGGGCGCTCAGGGATCCCGGGGTGGTCGCGCAGAGCACGCGGGGCTCGCTGTGGCACGGTGCTGCCGACTTGGCTAGAACGCAGACGAGAGCCGGGCAGGGAAGGGGGAAGGGCCAATGCAGGTGGAGTCAGAGCCCAGAGAGGGCCAGGGAAGGCGGCCACTCCACTCCCCTGACGCTCGTGACCACTGCCAAGCTCACTGGCTCCACGACGGGCCCGCAGCCGCCTCCAGCCCAACAGGATTCGGTGCTTGTCCTGAAGTCATGCCCAGGGACCACCTGACTAGCAACCCAGCTGGCAGGCACTAGGGCAGGTCTGCTCTGGCGAGTGGAGAGGGGTGGGGCAGAGCAAGGCTGAGCACCTTGCCCTCGCCCTGCCCAGACCATCACCCTCACTGCGCCTTTCCCCTTCAGCCACTCTTTGCAATTGTGGGGGAGCCTCCTGCTAGTCCCAGCCGTCGGTGCAAACGCGCCGTGCTGCCGTGCAGACGGGCACCGGGCCGGCCCCTGCCCCACGTCCGCGCTGACCTCAAGGGGTCTCGGTTGCAGCGCCGTTTCCCGCTGATTTCTTGCAGTAAAAGGAGAAGAGGCCCGAGGCGCCAGAGGGGTCGGGCTAAGGGCCCAGGGCCCAGGGCCCAGAACGCCCGGCGGACGTGCCAGCTGGGACTCTGGGAAAGCGTCAGGCTCCTGGTGGTTTACGAGCCCTGCTGATCTCCCGGCTGGGTTAGAGTCCAGGGACACTCGGCCACTTCTCTCGTTAGCGCTGATCCCCGAAACGGGGTAGGCTGCTGCCGAGGGCCGTGCGGAGGCAGGGCCACAGGGCCGGCGAGTGTCCAGACGTGTCTCCCTTCTCAGAGCCCCGCAGCCAAGAATCTCATTCACACGCCCTGCAGGTGCTAACGAGTGCGCAGGGGCAGCCGCATCCAGGCGCGCTGGGGTTTGCCGGCAGCCCGGGACCTGCCTGCCGCGTGGTTCGTCATTCACCCCACGGGGGGGAGGAGCATTCCCTCTGCCGCCCCACTGCCTGTCAGCGGGAGACGGCTGGCTGGGAGGGGCTGTGCAGGTTCAGGGCACGTTTACGTGTCTCTGGCAATAGAGCAGGCGCTGGGGACACAAGCTGCCTCCTGGGTCCTGGCTCATGACCCACCGACCCACTTCTGCTGCTCCATGGACACAGGAGTGGGGCGGGGGAGGGGCTGTGGAGCAGTTTTCCCAGCTGAAACCCACTTCAGGAGCAGCCGGCTGGCAAGGCAGGAACGCCTGTGAGGTTCCCAGGCTGCAGAGGGACCAGTCGCCCGGGAGCTCAATGGGCAGTTCCTAGGTAACGGGAAAAGCTGGTGGAGCAGCCTGACAAGAGCCATGTTTAATTCAGCACCAAGCTGCTTTTCTGCAAGCCGGGCCCCACGTTCGCTGTGTCCCTTCGCAATGCGCTGCCAGCTGGCAGCAGGGCTGAGGCACGGCTGTCTACAGCGCTCAGAGCCTGGCCCCCGGGAAGTGATCCGCCTCCAGCCTGCCTCTCACAGCAGGTCTGAGGCTCTCGGGGTCAAAGTAAGTCGAGGAAAATAAACGTAATTATCCAGGGTCTTGGATCAGACAAAAATAACCAAGTCGTGTCTCTGTTTCCTTTTCAAACTGAGCTCGGCTCTGGCCAAGACAACGGGCTTCAGGGGGCTTATCACTCACACACTTGACCCTGCAGCTGCTGTTGGGGCTTTCAGGAAACCAAACTCGGAGACCTCGATTTGCCCATGTACGGTGCCCCGAGAAAGCCTTGCAGACAGGGCGTCTGGAACTAGGCAGGACCAGCCTGCGCTTTATTTCACTCACTTTCTCTACCACCACAGCCAAAGCAGATTTCATTGCTCTACACAGGCATTGCTCTGACTGAGATTTATCCAAAACATTTGAAAGGGAGAGGCCCTAGAATTACAGGCCATTGAGTGCGTAAGCCCTGAGATGGGCAATAAACCGGCAGTGAGCCCCTGGCAGGCCGGGGCCGCTCTATTTACTACAGCTATGGGTGACTGCAGCTCCAGCTGGCCCGGGATCGCTCTTCCCGGCCAATGGGAGCCGCAGGAAGAGGCCCAGACCGGGACATCGCTTCCACAGCTCCCATTGGCCGGGACCCGCCAGTGGGAGCTGCAGTTGCTGGTACGGGCAGAGGCCCAGGGACACAGCACGGCGGCCCCCAGGGCCTAGCGCTGGGGAACTGGGTCCAGCTACAGGCTGGTATTTGCCCTCCCATGTCCCCCAGCCTGCAGAAGGGAAATGTCCTCGCCCGCTCAGCTGTGACTTCTCAATCTGCTGCTGCCAGCGGGGGGTGAACGGAAGCGTCTCAAACGCCTAGGCCAGCGGCGGCCCCCAGGCTAGATACCGGTCGCCAGCCTCACACTGGTGCACAGAAGTGCTGGGAGCGAGACGCGACTCCTCCGCGCTGCTCAGGGTCCGTTAGCCGCTTCCCGGAGCTTCCAGGACCAACGCAGTCGGAGGCAGGATGAAACCCCCCTGTGAGATGCTGATGAACAGAACGAGCGTGGTCCGAGGGCTGCTGGCCTCCCAGTGTGATCAGCACGGCGGCAATGAAAGGAGCAGCAGACCCCTTGTTGAAATGAGCTCCCCGTGCGGGCCCGGGCTGCTGCCTGCCCCAGGAGCAGCCGGGGAGCAGAGAGCTCCAGGAGGCCCTGGCTGGTCCCTGAGCAGCCGCCCCTCAAGAGAAGGGGGGTTTGCAGAGAGTGAGGGCTCCCAACCTGAAGCCCTGAGGAGTCCTGGGCAAGGGGGCCCAGAGCCAGGAAGGCAGAGCCATGCTCCAGGGGCAGCTTCACCTCCGCACGGCTGCACTGAGCAGCTTCGCCCGCAGGGGAGCAGAGAGCTCCAGGAGGCCCTGGCTGGTCCCTGAGCAGCCGCCCCTCAAGAGAAGGGGGGTTTGCAGAGAGTGAGGGCTCCCAACCTGAAGCCCTGAGGAGTCCTGGGCAAGGGGGCCCAGAGCCAGGAAGGCAGAGCCATGCTCCAGGGGCAGCTTCACCTCCGCACGGCTGCACTGAGCAGCTTCGCCCGCAAGACTCCGACTGCTCTCGGGGGCCCCTGCAGCTGCGCGCTGGCAGCCTTGTGGGCCAACGTGACGCTGCTCCGGAGCACGGGGCTGATCTGAGATGGCTGCGCAACGGCCCCGCAGCAGGCCCGTGTCTGTGCACTCTGCTGGAACAGAGACTCCTGCTTCCGCTCCCCACCCCCGCAGCAAGACACAGAAACCACAGCGGGAGGGCTGGGCAGGAGCCAGGCTCGGCCCTCTCACCCCCGCCCTCTGGCAGCGCGGAGCAGGCTCCTTAGGGAGAGCAGCATGCTACAGCCCATCGGACTGCGCCCATTTCACTCATTCCCAAGGGCAAAGGAAACCCCTGGGAGGGGCCCCGCGTCAGGGCACGAGCCACCCGCCGGGGGAAGTGCGCTAGCTTACCATGCGGGTGTGGGCATTCGGCCAGAGTCAGAGCCCCTTCCTCACTGGCCCACAACTTAGCCCATCAGCTTTTAGAGCCCCGGGCGTGTGGGGCGGGCAAGCAGAAACCCCGCATGCTATTTGCGGAGTGAGGCCCTGGCCGCTCCAGCCAGGGAGAAATGACAAACATGTGGCCCCCACGGCTATTTTGACCAAGGAGGAGAGCCACGTTTCACACTGTTTCCCTTCTGAACAGTCTGTGCATGAAAGAAAACACTCTGAGGGCCAAGAGCATCGCCTCTTTAACTGGCTGCTGCAGCTGTTTGCTTGAGCTGCTCAGAGGCTTTCAGGGTGACTAACTTCGGCCGAAAGCAGCTCGCGAATGAAGAAATCCCAGCTTGAAATCTCCAGCCCAGACTCTTCCCTGCCAAGGGCAGGAGGAAAACACCCAAAGCATTTTTGTCAGTGTTTTATGGCAATGCTCATTTTTCTACCTTTAAAACTGAGCGGGAGCAGAGGTGAAGGTGTTTATAAACAAAGGCTCTGTGCAAAACAGCTGCTTCTGGATCTTGGATTCTGGATTTTAGTGACTCGTCTATTGTGATTCATTAACAAAAATGCCCCGGGACTGCTCAGCTCCACTCTTCTGCACGTCCCGTCTCTCTCTCACAACAATAACTGGTAACAGTTAAAAACAAAACCCACACAAACCACAGTCATCGTAATTGCAGGGAAAATATTTTAGCTCTTGAGGCAGACATTTGCTCATGATTCAGCCTTCTCTCCTTCCCTGTCAGCACTGAAAACCTGTCTGCGTTCTGCTCCCAAAAGTGAGCCGGCAGCTCGACTAAATCTGGGATGAGTGGGTACAGCCCAGGCACTAAGCATCTGCCGATTCATATCTGTGATCACAGGTTTTCGTGGGGGCAAAATTGCTTCTGTACAAAAAGGAGTTCCCGTATTTAAAAATCTAGCCCTTTGTTCCAGAATCAAACGTACGTCTCTTGTCTGCTGCTAACGCAGGTCGTTCCGTCCACGGCATGTGTGAACAGGGGAGGGGGCCTCCTCCTCCGTCTGACTGCTGCACCTTTCACTCAATCATCTGGCGCTGGATGGGCTTCGGGTGTGATCCAGGCCAGCAAAGCCTGGACTCCCAGTCCTGCGTTTCCATGTCCTGCTCCTATCGACAGTCTCCCACTTGCTCCTCACCCCACACGCACAGCAAAGCTGTGAGCCCCCTTGTCCCCACGTCTCAGAGCAGAGTGTTTTCTTTGGGGGCCCCCATGCACTTCCCAGGGACTGCCCCTCCCCCCCCGCGTGCAAAGGCCACTGACCGTTGGCTGAGGCCAGGATCATGGCTTGAAGCATTTCCGTATCAAACTGGTTGTTTGGCCAAGTGCCTCCTTCCTCTCCATTCTGGGAGCTGCGGAGAAGAAAAGAAACGAGAGCCAAGTTAGCGCTCGCCTGGCAGAGCCGGGACCCTGCCCCCAGGCCGG